TCCGAGGTTACCTACTAAGATCCACGTTAACGATCGCAATTAACATCAGTTACCGTTTAAATCCCTAATTCAAATTACGTAGCGAGTATTCAGTGAGAACTGATGACTCGTCTCTAAATTACACCTTATTCTAGACTTTACTGTTAATTAGATACTTACTATGGCTGTACCGACACTCATGAGTGTCGGAACAGCCATAGATTATGCTCATAGAATTTGCTGCATTACACATTTTCCATGAAAGAACAAATTAATGGGGAAAATGTCATGGCGACACTTGAATAAATTGCTCTGATGATAATACGCTATTGATGTGATTCTGCCGTAAATTGCAAACTGTATAAAAGTTGAGTGAACTCCGAAACAAATCATTCACAAAGCAACGTCTTTCTTTTAGGTATAAGTAAACACATTCTTTTTGTAATCTATGAAAAAATCTTGGCATTGCATCTTCGGAAACTTTTTAGATGTTGTTGGCAAAATATTGAATCATTTTAACGCCATATTATTTACAAATTTAATACAACTTTAAAATAAAGTTATTATCCCTGTTTCTCTAAAGGTATACAAGTACATAATACAAATATTTAAGCGTTGTACATTTCTTTATTCGGCTGCAAATATATGCCTCTGAATGTTGACGATATTTTCAATTAATTATCCCTATCCCATACATACAATATAATGTAATGTTTGCGGATAATTTATTAAAAACAACGTCATCATAAACCACAATACTTTGTTTTGATATGAATTTATAAATTAGGGAATTTTATATAGATAAGTATCCCTTCGAAAGCAAATTTGGGCTATGAAGATGATAAATCACACAATGTTGTGTTAAATTTAAGCTTACTTCTAACAAGGCGATAAAATAGAAGGTTCTTGTTCTTGAACCAAAGGAAATAATGTACCTAACCAAGAATTGTATTGTAAACCTGATTGAAAAAGAGTAACCTATGGAGTTTCTTGCTCGTTCTTCTCCACATGAATCTACACTTTGGAACAAGCAAATAACTTCACTAGAAGACTGAACGATAGACTGACATTTTTTTTAATACATCAATATTTTGTTTTGACTCTCAAATTGCCTTCCTGATCTAATTGAAGTAAATTATTTCGACTTTGACTTTGAGTTTTGAGTTCTTGTGTGGAGCCAACGTCCATGAGGCAAAGTCTTGACCTTCTGAGTTTCCGTATGACTCGGTAGTTTGAGTAATTTGTCGCTGAACCAATTTCTTTACAATACAATTGATACAGACTAACGTTATCTAAAAAACTACTCGAATAAAACTGTGTGACATATAAACACTCATGCGCATTGTTTGCTACCTTGTAATTCCGTAAACATTATTGAAGTATACTCCACTGAATTTCATAAACACTTATGTAAAAGTATTGTTTTTCGTTAAAATTATTTTGTAACGATTATAAGTCAGGACTTTTTCGTCTCTAGTGTGAGTTTGTTTCTCAAACATCATAATGTTTGTTGTACAACCTGAAGAATAGGGTTTTCAATAAACTACGTTTAAAAAACAATGTCAACCTTCATCTTCTTTAAAGTCGATTATAAAGTTGGTTAATATACTAAAACATGCTCTTAGTGCAGCAAACACTTATGGAAACTGCATCAACATCGGTTCAGCCAATTGCGAGATAATTGCTGAAAAACAGATGCAAGTCAAACTGATAAAATATCCTTCATTATTTAAGTCGGTTAAAAACGCAATATAATGGACGATTACGACTATCTATAGCTTTCTCATTAGATAAAGCTATCCATGCATGCAGCAAAGAGATACAGCAAAAGAAACAGACCTCTGAGTTTGTTTCGGCATTTCTTCTCAGAGTAGTCAGTTAGGAAATGTCGACCTCATCGTTCGCTTGATAAAATTGACGTGTAAAAGTGCTGCCTTGTAGCCTATTTGCAGAAATAAATTCACTTGTTTCGAAAACAATGATTTTGAGCTTAATTTCTTGACTCTTCAATTAACATATCTAGGATTGAACAACAAACAATACATGAAAAATATCAAAATAGGTCACAAGGATAAAATAACAAAAAAGATATAGAACATAGGAAATAATAGAGCAAATATTTAAAATTAATTGTATGTTTAATCGGTTACTCATTCTTTGACGAGGAACTCGATTAGTTTCAAGCCACGCTGGGGGCTCATACTCATGACTTAATTACGTGACGTTACGTGACCGTTAAACATAATCATGAATTTATCACAACTCACTAATATAAAAATGCTGTGATTAATTGGGTGCTTAAAAAGATGATGAGTGAATAACAATAATCAGAAGGTTTTATAATGGGTTACGTGAGCTATCTACATACGTATTCGACACGTATACGATATACATAGGTAAATATAAACACATGAAAAGCACTATTTCTAATCTACTGTGATAGAACAAACAAATAAAAAATTATATAAAATCAGCATTGCCTTTCAATAGAACGTGAGAATACAATAGAAAAGTAATTTACACCGAATCTATAAAGTTGAGTTTTCTCTCGTCCGACTCGTCCAAACAAACTCCTGAGTTAATTTATTGAAGAGACTTTTTGTTTGATATTGTTCGATAAGTTTTCACAAGATAAATAAATGTGCCCACTCGACTTACTTTACGTCCTATCTATGACCTATTAGGATAAGTCCTATTTCGTCCTAGTTCTAACATGATAGGTAGTCACACAACTGCTGCCTGAAAGACTATCAGTGATAGTGCTATTGCATTATTCTGATTTAAATTACCATTGTAAGCCCGAAGTCAGAAAGTTCGGTACTGTTTCACCCCTGTGTGTGTCTCAGTGCGAACGTGAAGCCTTCGGTCCCTCGCCTGATGTCTTTCCGGTCGTGTCGGTCTACCGTACTATAAGGTTTGGAGAGTGAGAAAACAGGGAGTGCACCTGTGTTTGCGCACACACTTGTGCACTATACCTGATATCTCCTGCGCAGTGGGCTAGTCTAATTAGATAGAAAAGTCACCATGATCAAAATCGATTGTGAGGTATTTTCGAAATTTTTTTAACTTATCTCGCACCACATGAAGACAGGACAAGTGTAAGTGTGGGAAAGCCATGCTTCGGCACGAAAGGGCCGGCTCGATCGGAGTGATACCACGGCCTCACAGAAAAACGACGTGAAGCAACGCTTGCGTTGTGTTTCGTCGTGTGAGTGAGCTTACCGGAGGCCCAATTTTCCCCTTTCCCAATCTCCCCAATCCCTGAATCCCCAACGATCTTCAAACTTCTAATCCCCAAAAGGCCGGTAACGCAATGGGCGATGCCGATTGCTTACCATCAGGTGATCCGTCTGCTCGTTTATCGGCTTATGCAATAAAAAAAGGACACTGGAGCCATCAGTCCTGCTTTACACTAACAACAGAAATAAATAGCCAATGGGATGCATTGGGAAATGTTACATGATAGTTTAAATGCATGTAAAAAATAAACATAAACAAATGCTTACTGATAAGAGAGTAATTTAAGATATTTCCTTGTTTTATTAAATGTGGTCTGAATGTGGATAGCTTTATAATCTAGAATGCAAAAGGTCTATAAGGGGAACAAGCTTTTACGGGAGATGGTGGTGGATTTCCTTAGGAGACAATATTTTATTAACAGAATACAAAAGATTCTGCGTGAGTTAGTGGGATGTTTCTTACTTAATCATGTGAAATCGGCTGAAGGGATCGAGATGACATTGAGAACAGCGAAAGATTATGGTCTAGTATACCACAAAGGCTACTTTTTATACCACGAAACACGAGCGAAGCAGAGCCAGATGCAGATAGTATTTTTCACAAATTCGAACTGAATCTTCATCTTCGGCAGTCCTCGTTGCGAGCACTTCACGTCAGAACACAAGGATAAAGATTATTGAAAGATACAAATGATAATAACAATATATTATCTTCCACGGTCAGCATACTTGCAGTATCGTTTTATATTTATTAACACTTATACTTACTTAACGATTATTTTGATTGTGTACCTCTGTACTTGTTTGATAGTTCTAAGTATTCATGGATGGAGATTGTTTACCACGTTCACATAAATGAGTGGTGTATTCACTACCACTACATTATTGCATGATTACGAAATCAATCAGGAATTTTGTAATCTTAGAGAAAATAACACATAACATAACATCACGCCTTTTATCTCCGAAGGGGTAGGCAGAGGTGCACACAGAAGCAACACCCACTTTTCACTATTTATGTTATGAGTCCCATGTGAGCCTATTGCCATATACCGAGCACATTTCCAGACGCCGTGCTACTACTGAGATTTTTTTTAAACCCAGTAATACTTTGCCCGACCCGGGAATCAAACCTGAGACCCCTTGCCCAGCAGTCGCACTTGCGACAACTCGACCAACGAGGCAGTCTTAGAGAAAATCTGCAATCAAATTACCTTATTCCAACTATTAAACGTGATAACAATAAAAATCTTGACTTTAACTTCATTTTCTTGAGGAAAATTGACAGAAAAATATCGTCCAAATAAGGAAACTACTTTTTGAAAAACTTGGGTTTGTAAAGTACAAAATCTTAAACCTCTACGTGCTCTGAATTAGGCGGAAAATCCTAAACGCGTAGCGCGTCGCTCCACTGCGCCTGCGCTTGACGTCATACAACAACTTACCGAATTACTATGTTGCAATTTTGTAGCAAACTGGAAAGCATAGGATCTATGACGTTATGTGAGAGGATGAAGGACCTTACAATATCATTTAGAATAATTCTTATGCCATACGTTTGATCGTATTCGAGCATCGTTTAGACGTGGCTGGAAAATGTAGTAATTAGTTGAAATCGTAAATGTAGTGGTCTCATAAAGCCCTTTAACGAAGCGTTGTGATTGGACAGGCTGTGGCATGGTGCAGGGTGCAGGTTGCGGGCGCTGAGCGGTGTGACGTCACTTGCGCACACGCGGTTATATTGGCGTGCGGGCAGATCCGCGGGCTCATTCTGTCGTCAGCGCGCACGCCGCGCACCTCGCGTCACCTGGACCACCACTAGTGCAACGAGCGCGAACTTTCAAAACATTATTTTACTGCAAGTTTTTTTCTGTGTTCTGGACTGACTGTTCTGTGACAAAATGCCTAAGAATATTTTAGCTGAGATGGGGTCCCAAGTGGGCCTCACACCCCGGCAGAACCAGAAGGTAAGGTTTTAAATATTTTTCATTTATCAAAAATGTATTTATGCTTTTTTGGAAAAAAATGCGAATTTTTACGGAGTTACGTTTTTACGTTACTTTGTAGCGATTACATACGATATGAATTTTGAGATATTCGAGCCGAATGAATGGCGAGTCGAAGCTCACGGTCGGACTAAAATAAACCCTACTGGCGCGTCATATTGCTAGTTACAATGTCAATACCGCTTACCCTGGGGTACGGAGTTACGGCGAAAGTCGCACGCGGTGCGCACACGCAATTACGTTGCCTACCCTCTACTTAATGTAATATATATTGATAACTTAATTTATATTTACAAAAAAGTAAAACAAAATATTTTGAAACTGTAACTGTAACTAAAATTTGTAAATAGTATAAAAACGAGAAAATATACGAGGTAGGTATATCTTTCAAACTCTGCATAAACTGAACTAAACTGAAAAATGGTGTCTAACATATCTATTGAGTCCTGTCTAGTACGAGAGACTGATACTACACTAGAGCGATACATCTCGGCGACTACTGTAAACCGCTAAAAGAAATTGGACCGCGGCCAAAATGAACTTATTTAACGGAAAAATGTAGAAATGTAACGTGTATCCCTGTAATATGGAATCTGTAGCACTAGCAGTCACTGGCAGTCAAATATAACAGTCTGAAGGCCGGCCGCTGTTTATGTACACACTCGGCCACAAGTTCACGCACGCTGTCAAAAGCTTTCACAGTAATTTAGTCGTTATTTATTGTATAGCAAGTATCTGATTCGTATGTTTGACATATACGTGCGCGATAGAAAATCCGTTTTAAAAATGTAGACAATCGTTTTCTTCCGTGGAAATGAAAAAGTTTGCTTTCTTAAAACACATGTAATGTAAATATTCATTGTCTGTTGTTACTCTGATTTCTCTAGTATTGTTGTTATTTTTTCAAAATGTCTGCCCAATTGGGCTAGTTCGACCAGAGTGATGTCATTCCCGCACAGACACCAGCATGAAATAACGCTTGCGTTGTTTCACTGGGCGACTCAAGTTCTCCCCCTCATCCACAACCTCCGGATCTCCAATCCCCAAATTTTCAATTCCAGGCTTGCAAGGCAAGTTTCCAATGGTGTCCATGAGTTGCGTCAATTTTGTTTAGGTACAATTTTGATTAAGTGATCCATCTACTCCCCATGCCATAAAAATACTACTTGGAGATACTTGTGGTATAGGCCATAGTTTATGTGACCAACTGTATCAATATCCTACTTGCAATGATATATTACTACGTCTGTAACTTCATCTAGATCTTTTAAGTGGCATACTCCCGTTTGTCTTACCTCTGTTATGTCATTAAAGAGATAAACCAAAATTCGAACCTTAGACCTACCGTGGGGTGATGGCGGCGGCTGCGTAGAATTCAATTGTCACCTCTACTATTCATACCAGACATGGCGTAAGAGTCAGATAAGGCTTCATAAGTAACAGAGGACCGGTACCAGCGCTCTCTAATAATCCTAATCTTTTAGATTCACCGTTTGTCAGTGGTGCTTAAACAACTAAGCCTAGAAAGTACATGTAATTCTGAATAAGTCACATTGATACTTGCCGTTTGTAAGTTTTGAACCCGCATCCTCATGCTTGGAAGCGGGCGTCTTAAGCCTCCGACCCAACTGGACACTTTAGTAGGAATGTATTTACATATATGTAAAGTCTTTATAGTTTATAAAAAGTTAGGGATATCCCCAAAGACTGGTTAAAGACGCACTACAACATTTACTATTTATGTAAATCGTGCCGTACTGTTTACTTGCTACCTATTTGTCACCATTAACTGAGTACAAATAAATAGTTGGTTACCTTACACGTACCATAAGTAAACATAAAAAGAACGACATTAAGCCCTAATCGACCGACGACATAAGATCCGCGTAAAATTGTCATATATATTCCATTGTTCCTAGAGTAATGTTTAAAATGACATCATTAAAACAAATTTTGGCTTGTACATGTTTGACTTAAGTAGTAATTTTCTTGTACTTATAAATAAAGAGATTAGGAATTACGTACTTAAAAATATACCCAAATTTTTGATCATTTGCGCTGAACTAGCTGATTTTTTTAAATGTCGTGAAAGTCGACTATTTGATAAAGTCAGGAGGCAGCGGTTACTGACAAAACTGAGCTTTTCAAACAACTATCTCCAACCCAACCCCCACCTGCCAAGCATGGAGAACGTGGCAAATCCTATTATGTAGAGAAGGCTCTTAGTCCAACAATACGCTGTCATGGACTGATGATGGTGATTACCTGCAGGGAAATAATTTTCTCACACAACATTTTACCTCATAATGTCCAGAGGAATAAAATCATCACTATAAACATACATTTTGTACATAAGTGTTAAGTAATGTACGTATTGAAAATAAACTGGATTCAGCGTTAACCATCTACATACAAAAAACATAGATATTAGCACTTAATCAGTTATTTAGACCACTGTATTTGATTCGGAGTCGCGGAGAACCTAACGGGTAATCGGGGTCCGGCTCGGCGTGCAGAAGAAGGAACGGGGTGGTTTTTAGTCAGTAAGAGTCTGACACTCCTTCCCGCCTCACCCAGGCGGGAGTAGTCATTCGATGATTTTCCGCCTTTAAAAAAAAAAGACCACTGTATTTCCGACGTTCTTGACGAGTTTCTGAAATTATCTGTCGTTTGATCATATTTATGATAATGACAGACGATAGCAAAACATTTAGAAAAATCGGTTCATATGTGTGTAATAATGTGATCCGGTGCCTAAGGACCATTAGTCAAATAAAGATAGTATTATCTTTTACAAGTCCGAGAATTAACTGTGAATCAACTGTTTTCCCCAAAATAAGTTTCCATGTATAGGGACTTCTTCTTAATTACAACTTAACAAACGACTTATTAATTGAGTTCTTATGATTTCAAAAATAATTGGTAAGTAGGTACTCTATTTCATAAAAATCGACGTCATATTGATTAGGTTTTTATTTAATGTCATTGCTTATCAGAAAAATAATATTGAATTATTTTGCCTATAAGAAAATGTCTAAAAGGTATAACGGAAAAATAATGCTGTATTGTGATAAATAATTGAAAAAAAAAAATGGAAAGAAGTAAGTTTATTGTTCCATGTAGGTTATATAACATAACATAACATCACGCCTTTTATCCCCGAAGTGGTAGGCAGAGGGTGCACATTATGCCACTGTCCAATGTAGCATTCACTTTTCACTATTTATGTTATGAGTCCCATGTAATAGGTGGTGAGCCTATTGCCATATACCGGGCACAATTCCAGGCTCCGTGCTACTACTGAGATGTTTTGAAAAAACCCCGTAATTCTTTGCCCGACCCGGGAATCGAACCCGAGATCCCTTGCCCGGCAGTTGCACTTGCGACCACTCGGCCAACGGCAGTCAAAACAAAATATTGAAACATTAAAAATATCAGTCTGCCGGTCAGTTCTCTAGTCTGCTATATAATTATATGCTCGTGTGTCTCCATTATATTAATTTGAATATAAGAAGCCAATAGTTAATATTAGTTTCCTATAAGGAAACATTAAAATTCGAAAGTAGTTCATAACATAAGTAAAGTAGGCTATTAGCTCAATAATTTTAACCTTTAACCCGCTAACCAAATGCAAAGATCCTTCTTATAGAAAACCAAACTATTAATACTAATACAACAATGGAGTGAACTGAAAGAGTATCGAGATGATAGTGAACTGAAAGATTATAAAATTCTTCAGCCCCTAATTTCAGTGCAAATATTCTGCCTGAAACCTGTTAACCTTCCATTAAACCGATTATTGTGGTTGCTGACATAGATTACACGATTTTCCTCCTCTTTCATCCTTTTAACTTTGACGTACACATTACAATAACAATAAATTGGTAATTTACATCAAATTATTCATATTTATCCTAATCTCCCTTTGAGATAAGATAATATTTATTTGAATAAAAAATATTTTAAAACTTTATAAATATTCTAATTTTTCTCCAATTATACCTAACTTGTTGACGGACAATAATGTCATCTATGGTGTAACAACTTAATCAATCAAAACTCTGAATTATATTTGTCTGATCGTAGCGATCATGAATTTTAAATATACTAACATAAGGTATGTATCACCTACATAGTACCTTACAGATATTCAATATATCATTTCATCAACCAATCATTGCGTTGACTGACAAGAATTGAATTCAATTGGCTTTCAGATACTAGTTTGATCTGGCTCATCTTGTCGTCGGGGTTATACTGACAATATTTAATATGTAATGACCACTTTATAGTCATTGACAATGTCTGCTCATGGTCTGTTGCCAACCTAACACCACGACTAGTTACGCAGTAGATATCAGAATTCAGAACAACTTCCTTCTCCAAACTAAAGTCTCTTACCTCTCTGTTTATTCACTGGATACTGATGTAATAGATGGAATAACCATCATCAAAATAGCCTGTGATAATCCTCTGGAGGACTGCGAGCCTCTTCTAGAGAAGTTAACCTGAGATAGAAAAGTAACATAACAATTTTTGAAAGACATTTTGTTGTTGGTTCAATGTATGAGTCTATGCATAACAGCGAGTACTAAGCCTTACGACCGTCAGTAGTGCATATCGAATATATTAAAAGTAACCTTGTTTGAGGAGAATTCACAAGTGTTTTGCTTGGTCATACCATGTCACGGTCGACCACCAAACCACCGTCATACTGGCTGAACGACTCTTGTTCGGATGCCACCAACTCGCTAATTGTTTGATTTCGAATATAAATTGGCTGTTAACTACCAAGCATAATATTATAAACCAGTAATCCGTGGTCAGTATTTAAATATTTGCAAAAAACAATGGTTTGCCCACAAAACAGTCCTTATTATTGCTATGAACATTTTGTCCCAATTTACATTGACGTTTACTTAACCAAGTTATTTGGAATATAGGAGGGAGAATAAAGGTTG